TTTTATTTTATTTATTAATAATTTTTTTTGAAGTAATTCGTCCTCAGGAGCCTTAGCAGTATAGTGCATTCCATAACCGAAATCGTCATGGCACACTGCCACCGAGTGGTCTGTAACTGAGAGATTCCACAAGGTGAATCAATTAACTAAGGAATTGTTAAATTATTTTTAATCCATTGGGTTCCAAGTGGAACATAGACACTCCACTTCTAATTTCCGCCGTCCTCTTCAGCTGGGTCCACGATTACTATAATCTCTCATCTCCTCCTCACACGATCTCCCCATGTCACTCTAGGACGATCCACTCATTGCTTCCCAATTGGATTCCACTGGAGTGATGGCCTGAATTGCGCGCGGTGACACTCGAAGACCTCCTCAACGTATACACTTTCCATCTCCTATTTCTCCTACATAGTTGTTGAGCGATCGGCTCTTGGTTGGTTTGTTGTCAGACCTTTTTGTTTATAGTTCCTTGTGGCAGACCGGCCATTCGATCTTCAGGATGGCACCAGTGAGGGCGGCCGTTATTAAAAGTCTTCAACACGCTGTTGGAAATCCTTTTCACGGCCAAGTTTCTGACCCGTATTGAAGAACTGACTGACTTGACATTAGTGTTGAAAATTCAAATCTTGTTCTTGATCCTGAGTGACAGCAGAACACGAAAGTATAATTTATGATGATCCCCAGATCATTAGTGAACTCCTGAGTGAGTGGTTCTCCAATAACACCAAAGCACATCCGTCCCCAATTCTCGACATAACCTGCAAAAATAACTACAAGTTAGGTGAAATAAACTTTAATATACAAAATATAGCATCGGCGGTAAGGACATTAAAAGCTAACAGTAGTTGTGGGATAGACGATATACCATCCGTCATATACAAAAACGGTGGTACGGATATGATTGTATTATTACTTAGAATATTTAATATCTCACTAGTGACCGAAACCTACCCTGAAACTTGGAAAAACACATATATATTACCTAAGCATAAAGGAGGGGCCAAAACTAGTGCATGTAATTATAGGCCTATCAATATAACACCAGTCATATCAAGGATCATGGAGAAAGTAATCAAAGACCAAATGTCAGACTACTTTCTAAAACATAAACTCATCAACCTGTCACAACACGGATTCCTCAAGAAAAGATCTTGCGTCACTTGCCATATAGACTTTTTCAACGAAGTCACCTATAGAAGAGATAGGAGAGAGCTAGTGATTATCCTCTATTTCGATATAAGGAAAGCCTTCGACAGAGTCCCACATAGTCTGTTAGTCGGTAGGCTATGCTCACTAGGGATACGCAACCCCCTCTACAATTGGATAAAATCATTTCTGTATGACAGGAATCAGACAACTAAAGTTGGCTCAATGACCTCCAGACCTAGACCAATCAGCAGTGGTGTCATCCAGGGGAGTGTATTGGGACCCCTTCTTTTCATTATATACATAAACAGTATATGTGAATGTTTTAGTATAGGCAAGCCAATACTGTATGCAGATGACTTGAAGGTGACATATACCTGCACAAATACAGATATCGGCCCAACTATGAACTCCATACATGAAGAATTAGCAAAAATGGATAGATGGTGTGACACGTGGAGACTTGAGTTTAATGTTGAAAAGTGTGGATGGCTCTGCATAGGCTGTTCCAACCTTGACCTCAACCTAGCAATTCAGGGCCACAAAATCCCCAGACTCAAATCTGTACTAGACCTAGGACTGAAATATTCACACAATCTATCATTTTCAGAGCATATCTCGAATCAAGTGTCGAAATCACGAAGGCTTATTGGTTTCCTACTCAGGAACTTCTACAGAAACGAGTCCAGAATACTACTGTACAAGGTATGTGTGCGCCCACTCCTAGATTACTGCTCATTCATATTCAGCAGTACACGCATAGAAGACAAACTGAAAGTAGAAGGAGTACAGAGGTACTTCACGCGAAAAGTACTCGGAACCGATAACGGCACAAACTACTCTACCAGATGTGAAATCCTGGGACTAGAAACATTATGGTTAAGGCGACTGCGACTAAATCTGTTACTCTTCTATAAGCTTCTTAACCAAATAGTGTATACCCCTGCTAACTATACTCGGTCCTCAGGTAACACAGGATACAACCTTAGGCACACTAAAGGTACAGTGGCTATAGAACCATGTAAAACAGCCACCAGGCAAAAGTTTTTCTTGATTAGGTATGCCCAAATATGGAACAAACTACCTGAGAAAATACGACTAGCAAGCACATTGGCCTCCTTTGAAAAGGCACTTAATGACACACTAAGTGAGTTTGTAATTGATACCAATGGTAATTCCCATGTAAGAGTTTCAGAAATCATAGGCCCATTTAATGTATGAACTCAGAGACTACACCTGTTGTTTGTTTTGTCTCTATTTATAATTCCAGACAAAAAAGCAGCAGTCATGACAATAACACCCATTCAACCAAGAGTCGATCAAACTATGTCTACCTGATACAAAGGGCGAACCATAATCAACATACGAATGAAATATGAGAAAACAAGGTAGAAACTTACCGCAACACCACATGAAAAGATAAAAGTTACTTGGATATCATTTATAATCCACCAACTGGTCTCCTACCCAAAAAGAATGCGGCGATGTTTTATCCAAAAAGGCGAGGAAATACATAAACCCACAGCAGCTGTTGTTAACACTCAGTGGGGGTAGGAGCCAACAAAGTAATCCTTTCAAAGCATATGTATACTTCAAATGGGCACGGAGACTTTGTAGAATACGTCATAATCCAAATCACTGCCTCTACAGCGCCAATAAACCTGGATATCTATGATATAACGAAAACATGCTGAAAGCTGCATCTCAGATCAAGTTGACTCATTCCATGGTAATGATCTCCTCCTGCGTGCCTTATTCGACATATTGAATGGAATGGTTCGCAGTTATTCTGGTACTAGATCGAAAAGAATAAAAAATTCACCGGTTGCTGAATCAAAAGTACTTCTCTGCATGTTTAACTGTATTCTAACTGCTATGATTAATTCCAAACCATTTATCCCATAATCACTCAAATTCCAGGAACGATCCAATTCTACCATTTAAAGAAGCTGGCGGACACGATGTAAATGAGTATTCATGATCTGAAATAAAGAAGCAACTGGTTTTCAACATTTTACTCAACTTACGAGTACAGTCCGCCATGCAGACACAAATGGCGCAAATGGAGAATTCTGGAATCGACCTCGACACCATTTGATGCAGTAAAACAACTAAACATGACCTTATCTAATTTTCGCCTCCACGATCAAATTTCTTTCCTGTTATGAAACTACGATAAGACTGCTGAAAAATGGAATAAATATATCACTGATCTCAACATAATACATCAATAATCTTTAAGCCAAGGGTGCTGTTCACAACAAAGTTATATAGTAGAATTGACTTCAAGCTTTATTTTTCCCAGATATCTGTATTACATTCATGTGATGTCTGGGTTTTTTGTTAATGCGAAGACAATATTTCTATATCTCTTTATGTGCTACACAAACAGACTTTATAGCAGACTGTTCCGACTGACTCTAATGTCAGAAAGAACAACCAAACTGTAAGTCCATTATACATCAAATTATGTGTAATTTATATAATAACTTATCCATGCCTGTACAATAGGTATGTTCCTGCATAAACAGGAAGGAATATATTATTATTATTAAAACAATATTTATGCATGCCTATACAATTGGTGTACCCTACATAGCTAGGGAAAAAATGTACTTTATTATATTATCTTTACTAAATATGCTTATTAATATTATGTGTAAATTATCGAATTGATGATGCCTGTAAACTGGCGTCCCTCATGTAAAAAATGAGAATATATATTATTATTATTATTTCCAAAAACTGGTTTCAGGTTGATGAAAGCGCATATCGCCTTTCCGATTCTGACTCTGACGTCTTCATCCGTTCCGCCCACAGTTGAAACGATGCTTTCTCGATAGGTGAAGTAAGTAACGTCTGTGAAATCTCTCCCGTCAATGGTGGTTGTTTGTGGTTGTTGTTGCTGTTGGTTGGTCATCTTCATCATCTCCGTCTTCTCGATGTTCTCCTGGAGTCCGGTCATCGCTGCCTGCTTCTTCTACTAATTTGTTGCTTTTCGCTTGCAGGTCTTCGAGTTTGTGATGCTGAACATAAATCACCCACGCGCGACATCCACGTCTTCTAGAGTCCTCTTATCAGTGGTCCGACGTATTCCTGTCTTCTCATCTCATGCATAGTCTGACGCATTATCCAGTCAGTCCACCACAATTCAGAGTATCTTCGGTGATAATACGCAACCAGCTTGTCTTACTCCTGTATTCACTTCAAAGGCTTTGCCGAGTTTTCTGTTGTGGATCACCTGACACGTGGCATTGTCATACAGCTGATAAATACTTTTCCTTTGCACTGCGTAGTGTTGAAGTAGCCTCCAGATTTCTTCTTGGTCAACGCTGCGCTTTTGAAGGCTTTTACGAAGTCGGTGAAGTTGAGGGAGAGAGTTTTGACCAACATTATATGCTATGTTTTGTGATGACTATAAGTAGAGTTACAATTTTATCAGGAGATGGTTTTACCATCCTGAATCCAGCTTGTTCCTTCCGGCGGGTGGAGTTCCCTATCCAGTGCATCTTTTATTCTCTCCAGGATGATGCAACTAAGTATTTGACTGGTCGTGGACAGGAGGATTATTCTACACCGGTCAGTCCTTGCAGAGGCCTAAGTCACTCTACTTTGGCAGCATGACAAGGTAGCTAGCCTTTCCTCTAGTTGGTAGGCACCTTTCCTTCCTTCCAAATCTTTTGCAATTACTTTTTAAAGTTTCCTTAACAACGGAGATTGAGATTTCTACTCCTTTGATCTTTCTGTCATAATCTGATTGTTATTAAATTGTTTTTTTCGATGTCCATAAACCGACTTTATCTATACGATTGAATACGCAAGCCATACGCGAGATTGAAAGAAATATTTTTGTTTTACTGCATGAAGGTGACGGGGTCACTTCAAAATCTGAGAATGTCGTCCATTCTTGGCGTCCCAGCAGCTGTAAATCGTGGTACGTTCGTCGACATGAGTTGATATTAACTTGAAATACGAGGTGTCAACAACTTCGCTGTTTTCTGTCACACATTGACATGTTTCGTCCGTAGTCTTTCAGAGTCCATAGTATAATTAGAGGGTTAGCACAAATAACGAAATTTGTGTGAAAATTTCGCATACATTTTGTCGGAATATTTGCTTCTAAAATTTGTGATGGTGTTATTCCATCTTCCCTTCTGCCTATGTAACGTTTAACTGCTGATACGTTTAATGGCTTTCACTATGCCTGTTAACGTGTATGCATTCTGAGCCCTCATCGACTACTTAGAATTCTAACTCTTACTTAGTTGTATGCACATTTTGCAAGTTGAAACATAATAATGCAATTGTTGTCGGGTTTATTTGTGGGTCCTCACCAGCAATAACGCATTTCCAATGTCATTAACAATTTCCCGCACTTAACTTTGCGCTGTTTATAGTACAATAAATGAAATACCTTATGTCTTTTGGGATGTTTTATTATATATTAGTGGGATATTACTATACGGTTAATTTGCATTTCATGCATGCTGATTCTATCGAACGAACGAGGTGCTTTTGCAGAGTAACATTAATTTAAGGACTGAAACTATGATCCCAGTGTTTTTGTTTAAGAGTTCCTGCGATTCATATTCCACTTTTTGATTGAAATTAACAAAAGCTAAGAGCCCTGGCATTTCGTGCATACTTTGCGGGTCGCAAATTCATTAAGAAATGGCAGATTATATAATCATTTGCGGGAATTGTGACAAATGAATTACACTATATGTTCTTGTATTCACTCCAGTCTTACATATCTAGAGACTAAGATCAGTTATCACAGTGTTCTGATTGTTGCTAATTATGGCACTGTACTGTCGCGAAAGTAATATTGACTTTCAATTGTGTATTTATATATGGTATTTATATGGTATTTGTTCTGGTTGCAACTATGTGATACACAAACTGAAGGTAGGCATTCACAACCTCAAAAGTTGTAGGTAAAGCAGAACTACTCCATTACTGCCTTGTAACATTGTCCTAGCTATGTAGGATAGTGACGTGAGCAGTATACAGACTAGTGTTTTTACGTAAGACAGGTAATTCAATCAAGTTCTGTAAGATTTCATCTGAATTAACTGTGACGTGCTAAACATGCCCGATATTCATCTTGGAAGACTGTTACTGAGAGTAAAAATAGGTATAAAAGTCAGCTCACCATTACTTCCACTGCATATAAGCACTCTGGTTAACTGTTTTTTAAATGATGCAACAGTTGAAAATACTCTGGTTCTTTTGTCAAGGTATCGACCACTATTCAGTCAGCTGTAGTTTAAAATGTTGCCAAATAATATCAGTAACAGTTACATGGTAGAATTAGCTCATTTAGTGTGTATATTCACATGATTACTAGAGATAGAACAAATTTAGAAAGTTGTACTAAATAGTTGGCAGTAAAGACGGTTTACAACTGAATTTCCATGTGGTACAGGTCAACTACCTACGTCTGTGTGGAACAATTCAACTGAGCCTCAAACTTTAGTTAAAGTGTCTCCGAGCAACGTAAAATGACCATGAAAAGTAAAAAGTAATGGGTTTCCACCAAACTTTTGGATCGATCTTTTACTAGTTCAGGTTTGAAATTAAGAAATAGTTCTGTCGAGTCACAATCGTTGGTCGTCAGCGGTTATAAAAAATTACGAATTAACGATATGCTGTCGTGGCTATCATAACGGCAGTAAAAAGATTGTAATCTTGTTCATTGGGGTATTTTTTGTCTTCGTGATCAGGTGAAAATGCGCTTATAGTTTTCTGGTGTTTGAAATGCTCATTCGCGAGAATGTAGCAACTGACTTTGTTACTGTTTCAGCAAAAGGAGTATCCATCATGCATATAATCTTTTTAGAATCTCCTTAGGCCTCTCACATCTATCAAACTATCCGTTAAGCTGCTTACATGGAATGTTTTTCTTTATTAATTTTTCTAGTTTTCATAAGCAAGGTGGATTTTCCATTCTGAATTTTATCTCAGTAAAGGGTAAAATGTTCATGTCAAGTGACAATGAAAAATGAACTGGTTGACCGTAATTTGAAGTTTGTTGACTTAGTACTTCAACCATTACATCACCATATTTAACTGATTGTTCTGGAGATATAACCTCAATATTTTAGCAATGTGTACTTTCTTCACTTCAGGTTTGATTTCATGCTTTAATTGTTCTTTATAAGTATTTTGAAAGTAATCTTACTATGACCAAAAGCTTACATATTACCAACATTCCTTTCTGTTACTTATTAGCAGATCCGAATCCTTACTTTTCTGGTCAGTTAAGACATCACAGTTCAGACTGTGCTACTGAAAGCATTGGTTATCGAGGAACTCCGTACAATTCAGTAAATGTTTCATCTAGTCGTGATGTAACACACAGTCCATTAACCTCACATCTGGCATCCAAAGATCCACTTCCTACATGCACTGGATGCAGACATACCATTTCAGACCAATATCTTTACCGTATTCATGGCTTAGCGTGGCATGAATCATGTGCAGTTTGCTCAGTATGTTCGTCAGAACTTGTGGAGGTATGCTTTATTGTCAATAAAAATGAGTTATTGTGCCGCAGAGACTATGATCGGTGAGTCGAACCTTTACAAAAGTTTTTTCTTTGTTTGTAACCCAACATATCTATATTTTTAGTGAATAAACATTTCTTAGTTGACGAATTGCAGTGGTGGTTGTCGAATGCGTCAAACCTGAAAACTTGATAATTCGATCTTATTTCAGTGCCACTTGAAATCCTGAAAATCAAGTTGCTGTGTTTAAATGACAGCTGTGACACATCTACCACCTATATCCGTCTAGCGATAAATATTTTTTAGTTCACATTGGAGGTGGTTTCTGTGTTTAGTGGTTCTGCAAACATGAATATCTGTAGGCATTTCAATCAAAGCTTAGTTTCTAGTGCAGCATAAAAATAAATTTGATTCGTCTAACAAGCATGTGTAAAAATAACTGCTGTCTTGCAAGTACTGCTAGTCGGTTCGACCATTCGCCCTTGAATTAGAAGTTTCAAAGTTATAGCTGTCACTCCGTTTCAGTTCAGGCAAATAAGTTGAATAGTTCGCTTGTAAACACCAAGTGTAGCCTGTAACCCAAATCGTATGGCTACAGTTTTTGTATTTTTCTGACTCATTTGCTTCTATTTATATACTAGATCTTTCAGTGTTTCGTATCACCTAATAAGTTTTAGTTATTGTTATTATCACTAAGAAGCAAACTTGGTGCCTTATAGATACCAAGAGTTGTGCTACACTAGCTCACTTTGTGCGTGTGCTGCGAGACTACCCAGATGCCCAGACCGATACAGATAGCTGTCTTAAAGAACCACCCAGAGCGTTTCACCTGAAGTCTGATCCACAAGACAGTGGAGCAGTGTCAAGAGCTACGTCCCTATGGTTTCTGGTCCGCGCTCGGGTGTGCTTACGACTGAACGGACGTAGGAAACAGCTGGCGGTAAAACCATCACGTGCCCAGCTCGATCGGGAAACGAAATCCCTATTTGAGGAAGAACTAGCTAAACACATATCTGAGTTCGACAGCTGTGCTCACCCTGAAGAAGCTTGGAAAAATATCCAGGCTGCCATAGATACAGCTGTAAAATCTGTGAATAAGTTAAACCCAAAGGTGAGTAAAAACCACTGGATCTCCACCGCCTCATCCGAACTGATGGATGCTAGAAGACTTATTCCGGCGAGCTCCGAATTCAATGAGGAGCGAAAGCTGCACAGGAGGAAACTTACGAAAAGTCTCCGCAAGGAGCGTGAGCAGTGGTGGGTGACAAAAGCAAAAGAGATGGAGAAAGCTTCGAGGATAGGCAACACCAGACAACTCTTTAGACTCATCAGGGAAACGGGTGGGAGAAGAAAAATCATCAGTGAAACAATCTCGGAAAAAAATGGCACTATAATTAGCTCACGGGATAGACGACTGGATCGTTGGAAAGAGCATTATGAGTAGCAGTTTAATTGCCCCACAGCCACGCTCAACCTTCCGAGCATCCAACACCTCCCTGAATGGGATATAGACACAGGTCCTCCATCCCTAACTGAGGTTACTAAAGCTGTCACCAATCTGAAACTAGGCAAAGCAGCGGGACCTGATGGAATGACTCCAGAGGTATTTAAGTACGGTGGAGACAGTTTACTGTCTGGATTAACTGAGGTACTAGGCAGCGTCTGGAAATCAGAAGAAAACCCATCGGGTTGGTGTAAGTCACTGATTATCCCGATATACAAGAAGGGAGACAAGTCTTCCTGTGATAATCACAGAGGGATTAGCTTGACTAATATAGTATCTAAAGTCTTAGGCTCAATAACCATGCGTAGACTGATTGGTGCTCGGGAGGCACAAACACGAGAGAGCCAGGCAGGCTTTAGACCAGGAAGAGGTTGTATTGATCATATCTTCACACTCCGACAGATTCTAGAACATAGGAATTCCTACCGGCGTCCAACAGTCATTATATTTCTTGACCTAAAGGCAGCATTCGACTCTATCGACCGAGAAGTTCCCTGGAGATGCTTGGCTGTAAAGGGAATGCCGAGAAAATATATTGCACTGGTTAAGGCACTCTACTCGTACTCATACAGCCAGGTGAGGGCTTACGGCGAGCTGTCATCTGAACTGATGACGACCAGTGGTGTCCGTCAAGGATGCCCATTATCTCCTTTTCTATTCAACTTCATCATAGATGTGTTAATGGACTTAACCCTAGGTGACTTCAGCGACTCAGGGATTGACTTGCTACCGGGGAATAATCTCGTTGACTTAGAATATGCAGACGATATAGTCCTTCTAGGCGAAGACGCTGACGAAATGCAGAGTCTTCTGAACACCTTGAGCTGTAATCTACGAATGTTTGGCATGCGATTCGCTCCCGCCAAATGCAAGATGATGTTACAGGACTGGACTACATCGACGCTTAGTTTAAAAATAGGAAGTGGTAGAGCACGTTGACCGCCTCACTTATTTGGGAAGTACCATCAGCCAGTGCCAACGGGTTGATCTCTGACGAAATCTAGGCACGGATACAGGGGGCTCGTTTCGCATTTGCCAGTTTACGCCGACTCTGGCGTAGACGAGATGTTCGACTATCGACCAAAGGGCGGGTGTACTGCTCATCAGTCCGCTCCGTCCTCCTTTATGGGCTGTGAGACCTGGCCACTCAGAGTGGAAGACATGAAAAGACTAGCTGTCTTTGATCATAGGTGCCTGCGCTCTATTTCCCGTGTAAAGTGGCATAATAAGGTGAGCAACATTGAGGTTAGGCGTAGAGTTCTAGGTAAACAGGGGAAATCAATCGACGAAGTCGTGAAGTTACAAAGACTGAGATGGTTAGGACATGTGTTACGTATGCCAAGTCATCGCCTCCCTCGACGAGCAATGTTAGCGGATATAGGGTCAGGCTGGAAAAAAGCTAGCGGCGGTCAAACAAAAACTTGGCACCAGTCAATGAAATCCACAACAGTTGGTCTAAGCCACGTAGGAAGGTGTAGACTTCCAGGCTGGGGTCCTCGGGACGGTAAAAATCTATGGTTGGAAACAATTGGTGACATGGCTCAAAATCGTTCTCAGTGGCCAGCGCAGATGCATCCACTCCTTGTGACTTATGATCTCCAATGAAACTGTTTTTTTTATTACTCCTTTGTTTCACACCTCTGCTCACTGTTTCTATTATGCTTTTCTTGTACTTTCTTCTCTTGCTTCGCGTGCTACACGGAGTGTGGCGACTTGAACTTCCGCACATTTGTGCAAAGTTCTATGTCGAAAACAGACAGACAGACATGGTTTCCGGTGACCAAAACAGGTTCATCCGCCATGAGATTCGTTCGGATTCTGGAGTCCATATGCACAATAGGTTTGGAATCAAAGTTTTCCACCTCCCCTAGGTGGACCTGGATGTCCACCAGTCTGGTTGTAAGCGCCTTATGTTCGTATTCACCCTTTCATTTTCGTGGGGAAAACCTCCATCACGCGAATGACTTATCGGTAAAAGTTTTAGTCGATGGAAACCTGCTCACAGCAGTTTAAGTACTGCTACCTCCTCACATTGTCACATATACATATAATCAGCAATGTCGTCGGGTAGAAATAAACCGATCAGAGATGAGAAGAGCGCTAAAAGAGGGATTAGATAATGAAATAAACATGCAGGTTGACTTCAGTTTGTGTTAAACATTGATTAGCAGGTAGCATTTTTGACTTTCTTTTCCACGCTGTTTTCAGACTGTACAACTAATTTGAAAGGTAGTCGCTGGCTATGCTTTTGTCTCTCTGTTGATCCCACTGATCTTTCATTTTTGTTATTTAAAACTGTTTAGCCTTTATGCAACTAAATGTGTGAACTGTCGGCAGCCAATGCGAAGCCATGAATTATTTATGCGTGCAAAACACTCCATATCACTAACAAGAAACTCATCTAATCAAATTGCCTTGAACTCTTCAAGTCAAGAACTAATTTTCCATGTCTCCTGTTTTACATGTTGTATGTGTCAACAACCTATAGCAGCTGGTGAGGCATATATTATTGATCCAGTCACATGTCGACCGATATGTCGTTCAGATTTTCTCACAAAACAACAACACTTCCAACAACAGCAGCAACAACAACTGAATTCATCCGCTCTCATTAATAATAATCATAATACACATGTCGAAATAAACGATAACCAGATGTTATCATCTACAGAGTCATCGTCATCATCATCGTCTCGGAATTGGCAAGGATATAATAATGGACGAGATTGTGAACAAATGCATCAGCCTTTATCGAATATTTGCTTATCTAGTCAACAAAATGAATGTGATAATGATATTGAATTGATGGGTAATAAAACTGATTGGCCACCTAATCAAAACCATCTTGATCATAGTTATAATTCATTGAATAGTAGTGGAGGATTCGGTTCAATGAATCGTCGTATGCGAACTTCACTCACTGATGAACAGCGTTATCGACTACAAGAAGCTTATGAATTAAATGTTCGTCCATCGAAAAGTGTAAGTCTATCTATTCTGTATTAACGTCCTATTATGTAGTAGTAGTAGTAATTGTTTTGTTCATTGATTTTGACTTCTGAGAAATTAATCAGTTAGATTACTTCAACTCTAGACAATCAGACAGTACCATAAAATTCCAGTTACTAAGTGTACGTATGTGTAGGCTGTCAAAAATTCGTCCCCATATAACTTATAGTTTCATATGATGTAAGTATTGTTAAAGAAATATTTAAGACAGTCCTTGAGATACTTTATGTTCAGATGGCACTTTTGCTGTATTATTGAAATTCTTTAAAATTTATGTAACTTTATTTGGATAACATTCAATTTGACTAATTCTTCAATGAATGCTTTATTAACTTGCTCTTCATCATGCAGTCTCTGGCGGATATAGATAGACACATCTGACAGAGGGTTATCATTTGAGTTAGTTCATTTCGAAAAAGTAGACAGAGAAATAGTCATTATAAATTAAAAATGTGTGGGATGAGAAAAGAGGAGTTAGTTAACCCCGCGTAATATCCATCCAGCTGTAGAAGCGGTGTTAAAGACTGTTGATAACATAAAACCAAACACTAGTAAATGCCAGTTAGTTTCTGACACTTCACCCTAACTGACATGCAAGAAAACTGATTCCGGCGGTCCTGAAACGTGACGAGGAGCAAAATCCATCCAAACGTAAGTTGACCAAAGGTCTGTGCAACGACCTTAAACAGTGGAGAATCACAAGGCAAGAGAGGTGGAAGAGGTAATTAAGTTATAAATGACAAATGATAAAGGAAGCAATTTCCGAGAAGAATGGCGCTTTATCTACCACTCAGGATAGAAGACTGGAACGTTTAAGGTCACATTTTGAGTAATAGTTTAACTGGTCTACAGGCACGCTCAACTTGTCCAGCATCCAACACCTACTTGAACGGGATGTAGACACTGGTCCTCCATCTTCAGCCGAGCTTACAAAAGCTACTTTTAATCTGAAACGATGCGAAGCAGCAATGGAACGGAGCAGAATGACTCCGGAGATTTTGGGGGACTGTGGTGACTAATTGTTGTCTAGGTTAACTAAAATATTAAGTAATGTGTAGGAATCAGAGATAGTTCGGTTTGACTAGTGTAATTCATTGCTTATCTCAGTTTAAAGTCTTCCTGTAGCGGTCATAGGGGGATAAGCTGGACTACCATGGTATTTAGTATTCTAGGTTCAATAATCATTTGTAGACTATGTGGTTCTCGGGAGAAAGGAACTCGCGAAAACCAGTTAGGCTTCAGGCGAAGAAGAGTGTATTAATCGTATATTCACTCTTATATAGACTCTTGAACTTATCAGTGCCCAACAGTTGCCAAATTTCGTGACTTGATGGAGATACTCGACTTCGTTGATTTAGAGGTACTGTCGCAATGAAGTGAGTGACGAAAACGTGTATCGCACTGATCAAGGTATTTCATCCAAACTCATGCAAGTGTAAGAGTTTACAGAGCTGTGATTTGAAGTGATGCTGATGGCCCCCACTTGTATTTAATTCCATCATAAATATACTGATCTATATGATCCTAATTGACTTTATCGACTTGATGATTGACCCGTTACTAGTGAACAGTCATGTTGACTGAAATGATACTGTCCTCCATGGTGAAGATACTGATAAAGCACAGAATCTTCTGAACACCTTGAGCAGAAACCTTCGAATGTTTGGCATACGATCCACTCCTGTCAAATATCAGGTGATGCTGCAGGACTGGACTGCACCGACTCCCAGCTTAAAGATAATGGATGCAATACTAGTGTGCTGACCACTTCATTTATTTCGGAAGTTGCATCAACCCTAGTGGACCGATTGCTGACAAAATCTCAACGCGGATACAATAGGCTCGTTTAGTATTTGCCTATTCATTCCCATAATGATAATTATAGAACACGATATAAGCCAGAGAATATGTATTTTCGGTAAATTATCATCAGGCTTTACATTTACACAATGAAATATCAGTCAGAGGCATTGGGAATAATGTGGTTAGTAAAATACGGATGCATGTTGTCATTAATATTATTATTAGGTATGCGGGGAAATGTAAAAATTAGATAAATAATTATTGTAGTGATGTCTGTCTGTCTGTCTGGATTCAACATAGAACTTGGCACCGAAGTGCAGCAGTTCGAGTTGCCACGTTCCAAATAGCACACAGATGTAGACAAGAAGATGAGTGGAGAGAATCAATAGAGTTTGACAAGTATAAGAGTGAAACAGAATGGGTAATGGTAGGAAGGAATATGAAAGATTACAGAGACTGAATACATCTGCGCTGGCCATTGACAACGATTTTGAGCCATGTCACCTATTGTCTCCAGCCATTGATTCCTAGAGTCCCGAGGGCCCCAACCCGGGAGTCTGCATCTCCCTACCTGACTCAGTTTAACTGTCAAGGATTTCATGGATTGTAGTGATAGTGATAGTAATAATAATAATAATTTTAGTGACAACATGCATGTCAAACATGCGCAAGATAATGACAACACCAACGATAAGGAATCTAAATCATCAGTAGTAATTCCATACAAGGAAGGAACCTCGGAAACCTTAAGCAGAATTCTTAACAAGGCAGGAATAAAAGTGGCTGACATTCAAACCAACCACAAACTCAATTAGAAACAAGCTTTGTCGGTTAAAGGATCCCGCCAGTGGAGCCAATAAAACAAAACAATCTATTTTATCTAATGCCCTACCTGTGATGATTGTCACGTCAAATACATAGGTCAAACTAGTAGAACAGGTGCAGTCAGACTAGCCGAGCATAAAAACCTAGCAAAATCTAGATTAGTTGACCCGAATAAGATAAGAAATCTAGAGAATAGTTCAGCCGTAGATAGCACTCACTACATGCAGTTACACACAACCATACAATATACAATGGATGGGATCAGATGAGTTTTAAAATTGAATGTCACAGGGTGGAGGGAGAGATTGGTAACGGAAGCCTTGTTTATCGAATCAACTGCAGATACGTGTAATAAGAATGATTCATCACCTGTCCCAGATATCTGGAAAATTCTACTACCCCAACGATGACAAATAGGACAGAACAAAGAAAACTATAGAACTCGAGTTTCGAAGTCGTGTGATTATAATTGATATGATTATGAACGATAAATTTTGTTCGAAACTGTGTCATCCAGTAGATACTGTTTCACTGTGTGATATATCTAATAAACAAACTAATATGGAATTGTTTACTACCACAGTGCATAAGTTTTACACATATAGGAAGGTGAGAGCGTACGGGAAATCGTGGAGCTAGGTATAGACTACTTCAGGGAACAGGATGAAATGAGGTGTGCTGTTGAAGTCTCATGTCCCGCTCGAAACCTCGGATAATAATAAAAGCATCAGTGTCTCCCATAACATGTACTTCAAGGTATAACTTTTCTGTATTGTACTATCTAATTATTGAATTGTAATGAGATTCTGTTCCCGTTTTTATATGGCTTAGTTGTTTAGAATTCTTATCCTTTCGGTGTTTCACTTGTACTGTCTTTGCTGTTTTGTTAACTAGATGCGTGAAGCATTGGCTTCAGAGCTGGGTGTACCTATGCGGGTTGTGCAGGTATGGTTTCAAAACCAGCGTGCACGTGATAAACGAGCCTCTACTTTTGGTCGTGATAAATCATCATCTATGCCACTTGTGAATAATCCTCATCAACATGAAAGACAACAATTACATTTTGAAGAACAACAATCGCACCATCAAAATGAACAACAATCCTCCGATCTGTGTCCTTTTACACCATCCCCACATACTTCTGTTGAAAGTGGTGAGTTGAGTTTCATTTTATTATGGGTGAATATCATTCATATTGAAATCAATATGAGAGCATATACTTTATAAAAATAATAAGCATTCACTGTTATGTCTACAAATAACACATAGTAATACGCCTTAGTAGTGCTTGTGACTGATCGTAGAAACTATGTGGGCATTTGATTAATTCTGTATTGCCTACTGACCGCTTTCTTTAAAAAAATATTAACTGACTCCGTCTAATAGCCATGCGTGAAATAAAAGCAAAGTTTGAAGTTTAAGTCTGCAGTTCATTCAGCGTTTTATGCTCATGTTTGATGATTTTTCTATACTGGTTTTTGGAAATATCTTATGTGTCCGTGATGTTGTTGACATGTAATGGCAGCATTATGACGAGAGGACTATTATTTGGTTAGTAAGATAGTCTTGTGACATTTGTAGGTTGAACACACCAACTTACTACTGGAGTTGCTTATATTTTATTTTCTATTCCTATTTACTCCTTTGTGCTCCAGACTGAACATAGAGATTTAAACTTGAGCTTTGAATTTTCAGTACCAGTAGTCGGGTTGCTAGTCTCATGCCCAAACTTCCTTCTTTGCTGGTTTTACTACCCACTGAATACAGTTTAGGAGTGTGTAGGCGTCGAATCGAACCCTGCACCAATTGCATGGGCAGTGAGTATCCTGCCACTGAACCACCGACTCTCTCAGTAACTTCTATGTCAAACACTAAAATTCGGTGAAAAATACTAAGATGTAGTCAATCTGCGATGCGTTTTCATGGAATAAGAGTTATTAGATTTGTAATGTATCGGACGCCCACTGAAGAATTCGTTCGATGACATTGCGCGCCAGCCCCCCGAGTGGAACCGGAATTCGAAACGAGGCTGGCGTCTGAGGGTGACATGGAGCAGATCGTGTGAGGAAGAGGAGATGAGAGTCTATGGAAAATCGTGGGGCCAGCTGAGGAGGACTGCAGAGAACAGGACAAAGTGGAGATATTGAAGCTCTATGTTCCATTTGCAACCCAAAGGAACAATAGTAATAATAATAAATATGAATATCATCCTACAAAGTTAGTGGTTCAGTGCCGTAATAAACTTGCATTACCCTTCATTACCATACTTCTTTTAACAGAATAGTAGGTAAAAACTTGATATAATAATTTTCCAGTCAGTATTATTTAGCGCTTCTTCCTTTTTAATTCTTCTCACTGTTGTTGCGTGTGGCGATTTTCTCGATTTCACACAAACTATAAGTACTCTTTGCAATGTCCTCTCTCTCCATATATATATATATATATATATATATATATATGAGCGATTATTTCTTCCTAGCTACCCACACCATAGAAGTTGATTTCTTCGTGGGGTATCTAAAATAGAACGAGCATTACTGTCGCTAAACTTCAGAGCCCAAGGGATAAAACTCCCCCAGACCAATCCGTTGGAGTTTTTTTATAGTTTAATCCGTATTCAGATCTCAGCCGGCTACAGGTCACCTCAAGATGGATCAGGGCGTACAGTTTTCGGAATCGACTTTTCCCACCTCTCCCTCTCCCCAGAGCAGCGGAGAAGTAGCATCTAACTAGCCAACTGGTTGTCTAAGGAAAACACCTTACTGCTGTCACATTCTTATTCAATCCACAGTACAACTTCTCCCACAAACAACTTACATTAATATGGTAACTGTTTTTAGTATAATTGCTATCCTGATAAGTTTTCTAGCATAAAAGAACCTTCAGTAGCATTAGTTGCAACTAGTGTAGCTCGTTGGGTCATTGCAATTTGCAAGGCTAACCACCATATGAAGGTACCAGTTATCAGTCGGTCTAAGTTATATTAGGAAATCATTACGTAACAGTGATTTTACTTATATATGTAGGTGTTCTTAAGCCTTTTTCGTTTGTTGTGTGTGTAATATTTATATTATAGTGTGTTATTTAAGCCTTTCAGAGGTATTTTTGTGTTTATTTTAAGCATTGTTGTGTGGATGTGGATGTGTGTGCGTGTTTTGGCCAGTCCATACACAGCTACACAATTCTTTCTTTCGTACTAATCATGTGATAAAGTTACGACTGTCATTGTTATTAATACAACTACGACTACTATGACCACTTAATTAAATGATCATTCTGACTGTGCATGTTTATCAAGGTACAGAATAGATGTGCGAGACAAATGTACCAATAGTGCACACGTTCACCCATTGTTAATACTGAAAGAATGCAGCACGTTATGATAACATACAAATCTACTATTCTGCAACCTAAGCGTTAACTATAGGTATTTTGTATGTCTGTGTGTGTGATGTTTCGTCTGTGTGAATGCATATGTTGTCAACTTTCAGCTGTTAGAGTATACAGGTAACCACTTATTATCTCTTATTACTGATATGTGCCGGTGAGTTGGTTTGATTAAATATTCTTCGCGCATTTTGGTATATCTGTGATCATGTGTGTGTGTTTCGCCTTTTTTGTCTTCTATTCCAATCGAAATGAAACGTTTACATCTTTTTGTACAATCGAAATTATTGTTCCTGCGTATATTTGTGTGCACCTTCTTATTAGAAATGCGACTATTCAAGGTTATTCTATAGACGATAATTATATATTAACAGTGTAGTTAGGTTAGTGGCTATCAAAGTTCGTGTATTTTATGTTATACAGTTTTATTTGTGGTTAATTTAAGGAGTGAACTACAACAACTCTTAGCACAAAGATAGGAAGTGAAGTGGTTAGTGAGGCGTGTTGACCACTTCACTTATTCGGGAAGTTCCATCAACCTCAACGAGCTGATTATTAACGAAATCTCAGGACGGATGCAGAGGGCTCGTCTGGCTTTGCCAAATTATACCATCTCTGGCGTAGACGGATGTGTGAACTGCCCACCCGTTCTCTCTGTCCTCCTTTATGTCTGTGAGAGATGGTCTTTAAAAGGGGAAGACATGTAAAGACTATCTTTGATCACAGATGTTTGCATGTTTTTTTTTAAAATTTCTTTACGTTCCCAGTGGAGCATGGGGCTTCAAGCTAGAGGCTTGAAGTTTCGGTAGCAGTGGTGTTTATTTTTATGGGATGAGATTGCTAGCCTCATGCTCAACCTTCCCTTTTTACCAGTCTTATTACTGGCTTAGCGAGGCAAAAGGGTGCGTCGGTCGAGGATCGAACCTCGGACCACATGAGGCGTGGTTGGCGAGTATTCTACCACTGAGCTACCGACGCACTACTAAGTGATGTAATATGTTGAGTAATACTGAGGTTAATCGTAGAGTGTTAAGTGAGGAGTGCAAGTCAATCGGTTTTGTTGTGCAGCTTTATAGACTGAGATGTCTAGGACATGTGTTTCGCATTCCTAGTCATCACATTGCTTGATGAACAATATTACCTCATATAGGATCAGTCAGGTTTGAAAAGCCACCAGTGGTTATCAAACCAAAACATAACTTCAGTCAATGAATCCATAACAGTTAGTTTGAACTAACCACGTAGGTAGGTGTATACTTCTTGGTTGGGGTCCTGGGGATTCTAAGAATCAGTGATCATAGACTTGTTTTTATTGTTCAAAATCGTTCACACTCTCTGGCGCAGATTCATTCACCTTCTTTGTGATCTTCTATACTATTTCTATTCTATACTTTTTTTTTCTCCCTCACACTTCTGCTGATCATAGTTTTTTTGAATCTTGTCGTTTCTGTCTTTTGTGTTCCTTTGTATGTTACATCATGGGATGTGGAAAGTTGAATTGCTGCACATCTGTGCGAAGTTCTATGTCGAAAGTAATCAACCAGTCAGTCGAAGAAATCAAAAGAATCTACACTTAGATTTTTTTAAACAAAAGAAACACTATTAACTCATTTCTGATCTTTGTTCACAATTCCTCATGCTTAATGAGTTTAATTTTTAAAATTCAAAACGTAAATTATAGCTTTATAGGCTTATAATTATATTTAATACCATTTTACATTGTCTGCTGCGATCACACTAAGTAGATGAGGACCTACGCTACTGCCATATGATTGCAAGGGTTGGTAATCTAATAGTTTCATGCAGAACAAGCACTATTGTTAACTTTTGAATTAAGACTGCCTTAACCACTCGCATTTGGTGCACTTTGCGCTCTCCAAACTTGTACGGATTTCTTTTGGTGCACTTTTACTTCATCAAGTATTTTTGATTGAGGTGAACATCTACCAATCGACCTGCACGTAATGTCATACCTTAAGTGTTTATGTCTATGGTACTGCATGTTGATAGGGTTAACTTAATCAGTTGTTAGAACAGATACACATTGATGACATTGAACAGCATCGGTACTGAACAGTAAAGTATTCGTCTTCAAATCATCATGTTCTGGATTCGATTATTGTCCTGTAATTCCCTAAGGGTTTCAAACTGGGATGTCATGTCTTTCGTTGTCCATTATAAAGATATTCTTCATCATGAGCAGTTGAAACTCTTTAGTATTGCCCAACTCCTCTATCCAATGCAAGATCATGTAGTCTTGTGGTCAAGTCTGTAGCGTTGAGAACCCGATGCCTTCACTGACTGGCTAAGTTTCAGTGTAGGAGTTAGCACGGAAGTGCAGTAGAGTTCAAGTGGCCGCATACTCCACGTAGAGCGCACAAAGGTAGAAAAAAAGCAAGAAAACATATTCATAAGTACTTTAATATCCAGAAATGTACGGAAGAAAAAAATAGTAACATGGGTGAACATGATGGTTGATTAGTTATAGTAGTTAGGATCACATCGAGTGAATTCATCTGCATCCCATTAAAAACGATTTGAAGCCATATCAGGCACAGTCTCAAGTCATGGGTTCTTGGTATCCAGAGAACCCCATTCAGACAGCCGATGATTTTAAACTCTTCTCAAATCATAACTTAGAATAAACTTTATCAGTGAGCTGCTATCCTTGTAACTATGCTAGTTAAAATCTATCAGTCATACCTTTTCATCAACAATTGAGAAATTCCCATCCATAAATTATTTGAACAAAGCAAGACAACCACTATCAAAAATGGAACAACAACTACTACAAAAAGGATTAAACTACAACACCGGAGATGCTTCAAAAACTGATTTCTTCGCTGCCCTTGAATCATTACTCAAATCATCAAACTTGAACGAGGAAACACAGGAAGAGATACGCCAAACAATTGTACCAATGGTCAAACAGAAAAGACAACACACACAACTCAACTCTCAAGAACTAAAGGCCCTCAAAAAGCTGAAAAATAGGAAGGACATCGTCATTTTACCAGCCGACAAAGGAAGAACAACAGTAGTCATGGACAGAGAAGAATACACCAAGAAAGCTGAAGAACTACTCAAAGATGAAGATGTATATCAACAACTCCCAACAAATCCCATACAAACATTGGACAACCGCATCCAAAGGACCTTAAACAAGCTCACCAAAACTGGACAGATAACAAAACAAGACCAATGGACCAGTCCTACCTCGATTCTACGGCAGACCCAAAATACACAAGGCAAATATCCCGTTACGACCAATTGTATCACTCCCAGGAACTCCAACATATAATTTGTCCAAGGAATTATACAGAAAACTAAAACACCTAACGGAATCCTGTGATCACTCCATCAACTCTGCTATCCAATTCCTAGAGAAAATCAGAGACATCCAAATAGATGAACAAGAAATAATGGTATCCTTCGACGTGACAGCATTATATACATCTATCGGACAAAACCTAGCAAAAGAAACCATGGAGCAATTACTTAGCAACGACGAACAACTGCCACAACAATCAAAAATGCAACACACAAGCTGGATGGAATGCATAAATCTATGCCTAACAACATACTTCCAATTCAACGGCCAAATATATGAACAAGTCAAAGGAACACCCATGGGATCGCCAATATCAGGTTTGATTGCAGAAGCAGTGATGCAAAGACTCGAAAACATAATTCTACCAAAGATCAAACCCAAGATTTGGATACGCTACGTCGACGACACATTTGTAATAATCAAAAGAAACGAATTAGATAAAACTCACAACTTAATAAACAACGTCTTCAACGACATCAAATTCACAAGAGAAGAGGAATCCGAGAACAAAATACCATTTTTGGACGTCTTAGTCAGGCGAACAACTACAGGAGAATTAGAAACTCAAGTTTATAGGAAATCAACTCACACAGACCAAATACTGAATTACAACAGCAACAACCCAATAACACACAAAAGGAATTGCATACAAACACTATTCAAGAGAGCAAGGACTCACTGCAGCACTCCCACCTTAAGAAAAATTGAAGAAAAGTATCTCATGGACGTCTTCCAAAAGAATGGATATCCACGGAATTTCATCAAGAGACATATACCCCCAAGCCAACCTACCAAACCAAAAGCCACCAAGGAAAACACAAAGAAAATCGCCTTACCATATATAAAGGATATCTCAGAAATCACTACAAGACTCTTCAAACCTTTAGGAATTGACGTCGTACACAAACCAACAAAGTCGCTTCACTCAATTCTATGTCAACCAAAAGACTCAACAGAGAAAGAAGATAAAACCAACATCATCTACAAAATAAACTGTAACAACTGCGAAAAACACTACATTGGCCAAAGTGGACGTCCCCTTCGTCTTCGTATCCACGAACATAAGCTAGCCGTCAAAAGACATGATATCCACTCCCTCATTTCACTACACACAGACAACCACGGACATCAATTCGACTGGGACAACGTTCAAATATTAGACAAAGGAAATAACAAGAATGCTAGAGAATTTTTAGAAGCTTGGCATTCCAGTGAATCATCAATCAATAGACACATCGAGATAGACAAAATTTATCAACCAATAAGAAAGAAACTTCACACACAAAGGGTCAAAGTTCAAGTCAAAGAAACAACCGGTTCCAATACAAGTAACCTAGAAGGTGTGAAAACACACACAAACAACCAATCACGTCCAAGGTCACCAGGAGAGATGATTAATAAACTCGTGGAGAAATCTAAAAGCTCACTTCAAATTGAAGTATGCGCTGAAGATGTCACCCAGTAAGGTGATGAAAGCTTCGCAAACTAACCATCCAGCTCAGAGAACAAAACCACATCAAAATATGTATATATATATATATATATATATATATATATAAATCACTATTCCGAGCAATAATGATCATACACAATGGAAACTTTTCAACATTAGTCATTCTGATGAATGAGAGATGTAAATATCCAGTTACCAGGGCATTGAAAATTTATTTATAATCATAAGCCCCAAACGGGGTTATTTAATTGAGGAGTTTCTAAGAAATCGTTTTATATTGTGGTAATTGCCTTTAGTAACTGAAATCATATGGAAGTGTCAGTGAGGAATCATTTCTTCATAATATATACTAACCAAGGTAAAGGGATTTATGAATAACTTGCTATGCTATCGTCATTATTATTTAAAAAGAAAAATTATTTTCGGTTTTTCTAAATATGGAATCCATCAGCATATAACGTTTAATTATTATTATTATTATTATCATTATACTTCTAATTTTTCTGTAATAGGCCCATTCCCAGAGTTTGGTGGATTCTCTACTGAAAATTTAGTGCGTTATATTCCAGAGGATATGCACAGTGATCATCATTCTGATGTTGTTCAACCTTGGCGATCTGTATCACACGCTGTTTGGCTTGTAGAAAATGGCAATGAACACTCCACTGTTAGATGATAAATCACATATAATACATATATGTATACCTAATCTAATGAAGCGAAAATATCCTACGAATTTTTCAACACCAGTGAAGTTCTATGATCATGTCATACATGCTGTGAATATAACACATGCATTACGTGTGTATTCCTCACTCTTTTTTCTTTCGTTGTTGAGATACCAACTGCATACACATTCACACTCACTCACTCACTTACTCACTCATTCATGGTAGCGAAGTTATCTGTGATTCTTCTTGAAGAGCACCACCCAACTATGATGTATGCAATTCTTAACCAGAAAATTTAAACAATAAATAGTTTTGACCAGCAATTAATCTTTCTAGGCTTTTTAAAAGAATTATGCATTTCAGGTGTTAATAAAGAGAGATGTGTGACACCTTTATATGATGTGTCATTATTATTCATTTACTCTATTCTCTTATGTGTGTGTGTGTGTGTCTTATATACATTAGTGGATGGATGGATATTGTGCAAATTTTCTAATTTGTAAATATGACCTATTCATCAATATTATTTTATATTATTCATAATCTCTTTGCTTCATGCTTCTTCATTCATTCTCATAAAAAGAATATGCTAAAAAAGAGGGAGCATCAAACTGTGTATGTATGTAAACTTAGATTCATTTTTATTCATGCTCATTGTACACGTGTATTATTTTTTTTCAAGCTGTCCAATGTGTGGAAGACGTTGATTACTATCTCAGGTGTTTACTTCTCTCTCTCTCTCTCTTCAAGTGTTCAATAGACGGTTATTTAAATTTTTTCAAAAACAAACCAACACATTCTAACTGACACTTACTCTTTCCAATGATGAGATCCTTTCGGGTAGGGTATTGTATGTTTTTTTGTCGCTGTTGTTGTTGTTGTTCAGTACGGTTTTTTCTCTGTTCACAAATTTCCCTTTCTTAGATGCTCATTTTAAATTTAAAAAAAAACTAAAACATGATCCTTGCTTATCATTTGAAGTTTGTTTTTACATAGTTATCTATGTAAAGAAACTGAAAGGCTTTTTTCTGATAGTCGTTGTTGTTATATAAAGATGCGAAAAAGAAGCAAGGTTGCATTTCTCTATCGACGATTAGTTATTGCATACACTGTGTGCGTGCGTGCGTGTGTGTGTGCTGTGTTTAATTCCTCTCCGTGTGTTGTATATATTCGTGCCGTTTGATGGCATCTGTCTATCATCTCTTGTCCTTTTCTGTTGCTTTTTTTCTCTTGTATATTTATATATATTGGTATTATATTGATAGCATTTTTATTATGAGGATTGTCACACGTACAACACCTATATTACTATTATTATTATTATGATTATTACTATCTCTCACACGTAACAGTAGTCTCAGTGATGTTTGTTTATAAATTCAATTATATAAGTGATATGAGATGAAAAAGATCATTGAGTGTGGTGAACCTGTAGTCTTTTTTCTTCTTTTCTTTCTTCTCACTTCCATTCTATCCAACTGTAATTTTTAATCTCTATGAGTTTGTTTCTAAAAAATCTTTTCGCCAAAAAACCCTATTCCACTATAACATTTTCTGCGTGTGTCCATAAGTGAGTGTCATGCAAAACAGAATACCATCTGTTGGGATGATGGTCCCAGACATAGACAGATTTATGTACAGAGCTGACTTTTCCTCTCTCTCTCTCTCGCTCCCCACCTCTGTGTGTCTCCGTCCCTCTCACGTACACACTTTCCTCATTGATTGTTTCTGTTATTGAACATCATTATTAGTAGTATGTTTAGTTCTTTTGTTCAGTCAGATTTTTGTTCTTTTTTCACAATTCCTGTATAATTCCACTTTTAACTGCTTACTTTTCTTTATTATTGCATCAGTAAGAAGAAAGGCGTTAGACAAGGTATCTTTGTATACAGGTAGGTGTACGTACACGTGTTTACACCGACCTACCTGGCTTGTACGTGTGTGTGTATGTATGTATTGTATCCTTATAAAAATTTTTACTTCACAAGTGGAACTAACAATCACGTGTTCTCATGAAATCAAAGTGAACCAAATCTCAAATTTCCTTATCTTATTTTTCGCATTGTCTATTCAACTATTGTTTTATCTTATGATATTAATAATTATAATTATGATTAATTTTTCTAGTTTTTCTTTTTTGTTTGTCTGTTTATTTATGCGCCTTGTGTACATGACATAAATATCAAATGGGATTGCATAAGTCCAAGTCTCTTTCGTTTTTTCTTGCCGTTGAGTTTTTTGTTTAACATTACTGTTCAGTTTTTTTTCCTTCACGTTCCCAGTGGAACATAGGGCTTCAAGCTAGAGGCTTGAAGTTTCTGTAGCAGTGGTGACATTTTTTACAGGATGGGGTTGCTAGCCTCATGCCCAACCTTTCCTCTTTACCAGCATTATTTCTGGCTTAGCGAGGTAAAGGAGTGCGTCGGTCGGGGATCGCACCTCAGACCGTATGCATGGTCGGCGAGTGTCCTAACCACTATGCCACCGACACACTTATTATTCAGTTGGCCAGTTTTTTTATTTTTTTTATATTTTTGATTACAGCTTGATTCCACACTGTATTTTCGGTAAAAGTATGGAACTTTCAGCGTGGATATCGGTAGCCCAAATTTTGCAGGCCGACCATAGATATCAGGTGTGCGTCGGCTTGGGCTCGAACCCCGGACCATGTGCATGGTCGGCGAAAGTCCTAACCACTGTGCCACCGACGCTGTGTTTGGACGTTAGGAAGGAAAGGGATGTCGTTTTCGGCTAGTCTTTCGTTAAGTGCAGACTGAATTCTATCAATCAAAAGCTTAAATAGGACAGTGTTAATGTCTCTGACTGTAGCACTAGGTGAGTTTTTCTTTCAAGAATGCAAAAACACGCCTTGCTGATGATGATTGTTGAGTGCCAACAATTGCTTCACCTAGGTCAAGCAAGACTTCCTGTTGATTGATTACTTCTAACTGTCTAACAGTTTCATATGTCTTCAATATGATGAGCGATGATATTCCTAACTATGATGGATTGGATTATGCATCAGACTGTGGGAAACGAGAAGACAATATTAGGTTGAGCCGATAAGAAGAATAGAACTTCGTGGATGACTTTTATCTGCTGTTTACATACACTGAAAGACTGACAGGGGGAAGCCGACAAGTCAGGGGAAGAGGTAGGCAGCAAAGAGAGAACTTCAAGTAAGCACAGAGAATACACATGTAATGAAGATAACCAAACAACATCAGCAAGAACCAATCATTGCATATAGGAGAAATCTGAAAGAGGTCACTTCCTTCACTTATCTAGGAAGTATCGTTTCAACTATAGGGAGGCCGAAGATAAGGCAGTAACTCATCGAAGAAGACATTGCGAAATGGTCGCGCCGTGTCGTGAATTGGCAGAAGTTAGAATTCGAGAACCATTGGATCGGGTCCCAGTGGCTCAATGGTCTACGAGCTCGCCTTGTAACCAGGAGGTCCTGGGTTCGAATCCCGGTGGGTGCGTACTTGTGAAGAGTCCCAGACTAGGACGAAACAGTCGTCCAGTACTCCCAGGTTTCCCAGTGGTTCTCTAACTGATGTCAGCTCATGATGAAATCCTCCATATAATCAACTATAGTCGACACCATTGATGAGGATGTCAGGCAGACATTCATCACTTTGAAATCAGTTTAGGAATCGGCCGCATTGAAGCATACGGAACATTTTTTGGATCCTCAACACCAATGACAATTTTATCTCCCTTATGGTTCATAGAGTTGGCGCTTTGCGATAACACTTCCAACAGGCGACTGCAAACTTTCATTAACAACCGCCTTCTCTAGCTTCATCGTCAAGATCAATTGCCAACCAGAAAGACTCAGCAACAATAAACTCTGCAGTGGGACAAACCAATCAAGAGCCGATTTCTCAACAAATATGTAGGAGAAAATGGAGGTGGATTAAACACACACTGAGAAGATCTTCAGGTGATATCACGCACCAGACCTCTCGAGTGTAATCCGAATGTGAAAGGGCTAGTTAGATGTGTGTCTGGGGGTGATATGAAGAAGGTTGTGTGAGGAGGAGATAACCTATGTCTCAGTTAAAGAGGACTGCAAAAAATAGGGTGAAACCTAGGTGTGCTGTTGAGGCTCTGTGTTTTACCTGGAACCCAATGGAATAATAAAATATAACAATAATTTGAGCGAATGAGCAGTATAAAGCAGTCTATTATATATAGATGTTTTAGGGAATTTTTCCCTGAAATAAATCGATAATAATAAAAACAGCTTTATTCTGAACAGTACATTAATACGTCGTACAGAATTTTCAGCGTATTTTAATTGCAAAATATGTACTCTTCGTACATGATCTCCAAATAAAATAGCATTTGGCAATACATTGTGCGGTGTTGTATTGTTCCATCTGAGACAATATCCATTCCTCTACGATATTTTCCCCTTATTTTCTTCAATGGGAAGTGCTCTGCATTATGTTGACAGTACAAACGTGAACTGTGCATGAGTTCATATAGCTATTCAAAAACAATTCGCTGACTGAAATGTGTAGGGAATGGAAAAGAGTAGCTCAGTGGTTTAAACAGGCCGCCTGTTTTTTTCTCCAAGGTTGTTTGTATAATTCTTTCACACTGATAGTAAGATTCTTAGTTAAAATAAGACCGATTTAATTTGGTGGATGGTAATCACCAGTGGAATCTGGTAGGCAATTGGGTATCGCCTCTGAATTTACCTTCATTCTCCAATGAGTGATAGCGTTCCCGCTGGGGCTCGAACCCAGTCCCAAATAGGATGAAATGCGCATCCTAGATTCCACTGTTAGTCACTATCCACGAAACTACTTCAGGTTAAATTCTAAAACATTTTCGAATTGGCCGATATGTCAAAAGAGGCTGGACTGACTGGTCTCAACATAGAAGTTTGCACCAATGTGCGGCAGTTCAAGTTGCCACACTATGTAGCACACAAAGCAAGATAAGAAAGTAAAAGGGAATGCAAAGTATATACATTAAACAGAGATACGAGGCAAAAAGAATAGTAGTGTCGAAGAACAATATAGTTTCAAGGGGTATTATAAGCCACAAGTAGTGGATTGCATCTGTGCCAGACATTGAGAATGATGTTGAGCCATATCACCAATTGTCTGCAGCCCCCATTGGTGTTTACCGTCCCGAGGACCCCAACCAGTCAGGAAGTCTACACCTCCCTACGTGGCTGGCTTAAACTAACTGTTGTGGATTTCATTGACAGATGAAGCTATGTTTTAGTTTGACTACCACTGGCTCTCTTTCAACCTGACCCTATGTCAGCTAACATTTCCCGTCGGTCGAGGAAGGCGATGGCTAGGCATACGTAATACATGTCCTAATCATCTCAGTCAGAGGCCGAGCAGTTTGGTCCAATCAATCAACGGGAAAGTTCAAATTGAATCGATATGTTATCACAAGTCTAGGAAATTGTATCCTTCACATTTAAATAAAAGCGAGAGATGCATTGATTCTTTAAATTGGGCGAACCAGATAGTAAACAGCATGCTAACCACATTGTACAATACTCTAGTGCATACAGTAAAGTTCAGATGGAACTTTAAAAAGAAAGGGTGATGCAAGAAATCCAAACGTCACATTGTACTTGTTATAGCTGAACAGTTGTAAATCACTTTCTCTAACAATGGATTTATAGAAAAGTAGTTGTAATACAGTCCGTTTCATTATTACGAACTTTATTTCTATAAGTATAAAACTTGGGCACTGTGGTAGAGTATAATTCCATTATAGATAAGATTTTATTCTGATGAATCGCACAGTGTTTACAGTTATATGATATCATATCAAGTTGAACTTGATATGATTATGAGCAATAGTTTGTGCTCGAAACGTCATCAGTTCATATAACTGTAAACACTGTGCGATTCATCAGAATAAAATCTTATCTATAATGGAACTTTATTTCTCTTCGTGGTAGGATTTCTGGCTTCAGTAAGGACTAATGCAAGTTTGAATCTGTGAAAGAAGACTAGTCTCCTCAAGCTGGTGAATATTATTATTATTGTTCCCTTGGGTTCCTAGTGGAACATAGGGCTTCAACTGCACGTCTACACTTGTTTCTGTCTTCCTTCTGCTGTACTTTTCACCTGCATCCGTGTTAGTCCATACTGTTTCAACTCCTCTTCACGCGATCTCCTCCATGTCACCCTTGCACTGATGTCCCACTCGCCACTTCCCTTTCGTCCCGGTTCCACTCGAGCAATGGCCTGACGCGCGCGCGATGTCAACCGGCGGCCTCCTCAGCGAATGTCCGATCCATCTTCACCTTCTCCTGCATATTTGTTGGTTGGCGATTGCTTCTTGTTTTGTTTGTTCCCAGCCATAGTTTCTTGTTGATTATTCTTTCCGGCCCAGCCATCTAATCTTCAGCATAGGGCGAAGACAGTTAGTTGTTTGTTGATAAAGGTCTGCAACAGGCTGTTGGAAATCTTTTTTGTGACCCGCCCGCCAAATTTCTGATCCGTATAGAAAACGTGACTTGACGTTTGTATTGGAAATCCGAATTTTGTTGTGAATATACTGTACAGTAAATAAACGTCAGGCTTAAGTGACATAGAGGGATGTTTATACATTACTTAATTAAACTTCGTCAATGTTAATTGTAATTTGCAGTATAATTCAAACCAACGACGGTGATTAATCCCCACAGTACTAACCAAGTTTTCCGAAATTATTTGAGAAATTGATTGTGATGTTTAAGAGATGCACTGTCGCAACACCTTTACAAAATGTAGCCATATTCAGGGCTAGAAATTACGCATAGTTTTTGACAGCCAGATAATCTATCTAGTATTTCAGTTACAAGTATTTGAAATGTGTTTGGAACCATTACCTTACAGATAAAATATCGTAACAGAAAGTGCTATACTACAGATTAGTTGGTGTGTATTCCTACCAAAAACGATGTCAAAGAGAATGGAGATGGATCGAACACATGCTGAGGAGATCGTTGGTTGACTTCACTCTGGTGGAACCCCGAATGGGAAATGAGTAGTTGTTCTTGGGTACTTTGGTGACATAGGTAATATCGTGTGAAGAGAAGATGGAAGCTTATGGACAATCGTGTGGCCAGCTGAAGAGGACTGTTGAGAATGGGATGGAATGAGTGAGGATGTGTTCTTGAAGCCCTATGCTTAACTTTGAACCCAAGGGAATAGTAATAAGATTCGCATCAAACCA